TCGCTCACTGTAAGGTTTTTTTTTATATATATAAGTAACATTAGTTTTTTTTTTGAAGGGACCACTTCTTTCCCCTTTTTTGGAATTACAAGGACCACAAGGTATTTATGTTTTGTATTTTATTTTCTATTATGTATTTATATGTCATGTTTTTTTATTCGAATTTATTTAAATATAATTAATATAAAATATAAGGACATTGTGTTTATATCTTCGTTTTTTTATTTGGTTTTATCTTAATTAATTTATTAGATTTTATTTTTTTAATATAAATTAGTTTTATAATTTTGTAAATTGATTTAAATTAATTTATAATTAATTAAGACTCAATTAATTAAGGCACATTTATTTTTTATTTAATTAGTTTTTATGTCTTGAGTATTTTTTTATTAATAAATTTAGGTAATTATAATATTATACTTTTTTGTATTACAATTAAAATTAGATTACTTGATTAGGATAGTTAGATTTAATTAAAACCTTAATTGAAGATCTTTTTTTTCAATTTAGGATTTAAATGGCAGCTAAATGTTTGGCGTTTGTATTGCATACGAATGGAGGTATTATTGATGGTGTAAATGAAGTTGATTATGATAGACCGTCGAGTGGAGGTTTTACTGTGTATAGTGGTATCAAATTTGAACATTTTATTGAAATGGTTGGGCTGTCCCTGAAGGTAGATCTGAGCAGGAATAAGTTAGACCTTGTCTATAGACACCCTAATCAAACACCATCGGGATCAATTAAATACATTCTCATTCCATTGGAGAACCAGAATACACTAGATTTAATGTTCTCAATTGCACCACCATGTCCACAATTAGTGGAATTATATGTGAATGTAGGAATATGATGAATGTCCCATTGGACCTCGAGGGACATAGCTAATGTATTGACCCTAGTCAAAGTCTTAATCTTGAACCTGAGTTAGTTGTGCCTCCAATGACTAATTTAGATTAAGATATGGATTTAACTGATGAGAATAGGTCTATAGAACTCAGGACAACAACAGATGATGAGTTTGATGAATTGGACCTCGAGGGGGAACATGATATCTCATCTCCAACATTTAATGACATAGACATTGACACGATTAATATCAATGCAGAACATGATTGTATGATTCAACCAGTGGCTGCTGAAAATGATATGTTGTACAAAGGGTTCAGTTGTAAGGATAAACCAACTATGCAACATATCATGAAACATTTTGCTGTGAAGAGTCACCATCCTTACGAAGTTTTAGAGTTCGCACCATCCAAATGGGCGATTAGATGTAAGAAGTAACAAGATGGATGCAAATGACGACTTCATGCGATTCTTAATAAATCTTATAACCTATGAGAGATTACGAAGTACGTAGACCAACATTCTTGTTTGTACTCAGAATTCAATCAAAGTCATACTCAATTGGATTCAAATATGATAAGCATAGAATTTTGTGATGCAGTGAGAGCTAATCCTTCTACAAGTATTTCGACACTTCAAGATTTGATCAAGGAAAAATTTGGATATCATGTTTCTTATAGGAGGGTTTGGGAAGGAAAAACAAAAACTTTGGCTCGTATTTTTGTTGGCTGGGATGAATCATATTAACTTTTGCAAGTGAATGTACATGTTAAAACACACTAATCCGGGAACAATTGTCGAATGGAAAATTAGGGATTATGGACAACCAGGTAATGACATTCTTCATTGTGTATTCTGGTCATTCGGTCCTTGCATTGAAACCTTTCAAAAGTTTCGACCCGTGCTTCAAATAGATGGTACTCACCTATATGGAAAGTATAATGGGAAGCTATTGATTGCAACATCTGTTGATTCAAATGGACATTTGCTACCTCTTGCCTTTGCCATTGTGGACGAAGAGAGTCGTGAGAACTGGGGATGGTTTTTAAAAAACCTATGAAAAGTTGTTACACATGAACATATATGTCTAATTTCAGACCGACATGGGGGTATTATCTCTACTATTAACAATCCAGATAATGGTTGGACCAGACTGAAATCACATCACTGATTTTGTCTACGACATGTTGCTAGTAACTTCAACCATAAATACAACTGTGCAGAATTGAAAAAAATGGTTTATCGTGCTAGTTCTCAATTCCAGATTCAGAAGTATAACAAGTACGTGGAAGAAATTAAGTTACAAAATAGCTCTTGTATGGATTTCTTCCGCAACATTGGGGTTGAGAAGTGGACCCTATCACATGATGGTGGTATAGATATGGGTGGATAACGACCAATCTTTCAGAATGCATTAATGGGGTCCTCAAAGGAGCTCGGATGTTACCCATCAATGCATTAGTGGAACTTACATTCTACCGATGCGTAAAATATTTCGAGAAACGGAGGGACGAGACAAGAGATGCTTTGAGTAGAAATGAAGAATACATAAGGTATTATTTAGGTTGTTTAATGTTCTTTATTGTGTAAATGCTGTTAACTTACATTATCAAGCTAAACAGGTATGCTTACGATAAGCTTGTTAGATGGGCGGCGAGATCTACCAAACACACTGTAGTCTGTTATGATCGAGTCGTTGGTGTGTTTCATGTGAAAACAGGTCATCATTATTACAATTCAAAAAGTGGGAACATACAAATAGTGAGAATAACCGCCGTAGAACGTTCATGTACATGCAACAAGTGGCAAACATATGGATTTCCATGTTCTCATTTAATGGCAGTTTGTTCACACCTAAATTTTAAGTACGAAGACTATATTGAGGATTTTTACAAGCTTTCAAAGTACGCTGAATCTTACGCTCCTCAATTTGAGCTCATCCCACATGAAGATTATTGTATCGCTCATCCAAACATGCCTGTTTTGCACGCCGATCCCACTTTATTGACACTGCCTGGAAGACCAAGGAGTTCTCGTATTCACAATGAGATGGATTTGAGAGAACCAAGTGTTCAACAAAGATGTGGGATTTGTAATCAACTCGGCCACAATCGAAGAAAATGTCCTTCGAGACGACGGGAAGCGCCATCGTAGTTTGATATTTATCGTTGGAGTTTGATATTTATTGTTGGAGTTTATGTTAATTTATTTGTTAGTGTAATTTCTCTTTTAATTTAAACTGTATGTGGTTGTAATTTGATGTTTATTATTGGAATTTGATGCTTTTATGATGAATCTGGATAAACTTTGTGGTTGTAATTTGATTTTTTAGGAGTTTGTCAAACTAATGGATATTTATGGTATTAGATTATGTAACTAGATCCAAGTCCTACCGATCTGTATTGTATGCACAAGCTCGACATTGATCCGAATTAGTTTGGCAAGATCAATATAATGAGGAGTTGCACTGCCGATGTAGAGAGGTAATATTGGATCGTTCTATCCCACTCCATCCTCTAATTGAGCCTGCATTACGTGCTTCTGGATTTTACGGGTTTGCCAGAGTGAGATTCATCCAATTAGATTGGCATTTGATAACCGCGCTTATAGAACGGTGGAGGCCGGAGACTCATACATTCCACATGCCGATGGAGAGTGAACCCCATCACTCTACAGGATGTAGAGGTGCAATTTGGGTTACCAGTAGATGGTGAGCCCCTTATCGGTCCTATTAATTATGATTGAAAAGGCACCTGTCAAGCATTACTTGGGGTGACTCCAGATGATCGACACATCAGAGGCTCTAGGTTGAGTTTACCTTGGCTAGCTTATCAATTTCGTAACCTGAACGATGATGCAGATGAGGAAACCATTGCCAGATACGCACGTGCCTATATTATGTAGCCTATCGGTGGTAACCTATTTGCCGACAAGTTTAACAACTTGGTGCATTTGATGTTCCTTCCACTGCTCTTAGATTTTGGGATAGCTGAACGTTTTAGTTGAGGTGGAGCATGTTTGGCATGGTTGTACCGAAATTTGTACAAAGCGTGTCACTCTGACTCACGTGACATTGCCGACTCAATTATACTTCTTCAAGTATGGGCTTGGGATCAGTTTCCAACGATGGCTCCACAACGTTGTCAAATCTTCGATCACGAGCTTGTGGGTCGACCATTAGCTGTCCGGTACATTGATATAACTATTGAATTGTTTTACACATTTAATTATTCTACTGAAATAATTGTTCACTTATAATATTGTTGTAGATGGAGGGATCAATTTTGTGTTACAGAAGTATCTACACATGTTTTGATCCAATATGGATACATGTTGGACCTCTTGTCACCTGGCTCGGTACGTTTTTAAATTTTTAAAATTTTAAGTATATATCGATTTACAATTAATTACATGTTTTATTTATTACGATTTCAGATGATCTGGGAGCTATATACTAAGGAATTTGCAAACTTACCTAACTACTGTACCAATGGACATGATGTATGGTGCACTGTAAGTCCACTGATATGCTTTTATGTGGTTGAGTGGCATCATCCAAATAGAGTTACAAGACAATTTGGTATAAAACAAGCAATTCCAGAAGTGCCCAGCTGAGAACCAAGGATACATTACATAGACATTCGGGATGGCACATGGCAGGATAAAACTGCATCTTTCGTAGCGAGGTGGCACGTGCGTAGAGATTATATTGTTATAAATCCTCTCGTGGACGATGATGGTGTTTGCGATCCAGAATACATGAGTTGTTATTTATCAATAACTAGACGTTATCTTACTCGAGAAGGGGCATCATTTGGTGCTACGGTACAAATTTTAATTTGGTTATATAAACTATTTGAATTTAAATATATATTTATGAATTTTTAATTTTTAATTTCGTGCTACGGTACAATTTTTAATTTTTTCCATGTAGGCTGCGTGTTTCGAGCAAATAAGTATTATCTCGTCATCAGAAGATATTAATAGGTTGTGTAACGTTGGCGCGAGACATCTGATGAAGGTTTTGAAGATGTCTTGCAGCCCTAGGCGGAGGACGTCGTCAAGTAGATCAGGATGCTCCAATAGAGCTTGACGATCCTTTACCTGAAGTTATCTATCATAATGTGGAGGACGTTCCACCGTTTACACAGACACAGGATGATGCCGGTCCGTCGACGCCTATGTTCATGATACCGACTCCTGGTTCCAGTCAGTATCACACACCACCTTTGCCACCATTGTATGGTTATGGAGTTGGCCATGAACGTAGACGTGGGGAGCATGGACAATACATCAACCATGTGGAGGATTGAGAGACACCAGCAGTAGCACTAGTTTGTCGTCAACCACATCGTAACCGACGACGTCCCCATTGTGGGACAGATTAGATGGATAGGTTGTAAATTGACAAACGGAAAACATTATTCTCCAATTTCTTATATATATTTTCAATTCGAACTACTATAGATAACTTCATAATTCTGGAAGATAAAGTAATACATAAAATTAATATTATGAATTGAATTTAAATAAAAAATTTTGTAAATTAAAAAATAAATTTTATATATAAAACAAATAAATATATGGATAAATTAATAAAGTCACGGGAAGAAAAAATAAAATATATAATTTATTTTATTAATCTTGTTTAAATAAAAAATTTTTGTAAATTAAAAAAAAATTATATATTCAAAAATAAATAAATATAAATTAATTAAAAAAAAAGAATGTTGTGGTCGTTTCTTCAACAGATGACCACCACATCGGTTTAAAAAGAAAAAAAAGAAAGGGTCGTGGTCGTCTCACATGGGATGGTCGTCTCTTGTCTCAGGTTTAATTGACGTGACGCCACGCTGCAGAGACGACCAAGTCTACATGACAAATTAATTTTTAAAACAGTATTATTTTTGGAATAAGTTTCCAATAATGCAATAAATCAGCATTATTTTTAAAAATGGTTTAATTAAAAACAATATTAAGAAAAAAATCCTTCTTTTTTGAAGTGTTTGCAAATATGACAAATAAATTTAGTA